ATTGCAAGACCTTCTGATTTAAATGCTTTTTAACATTTTCTGTCATCTCACTCAAAATGTGAATACTTCACTTCTCTCAGCGCTCTGTTGGTTTATACTCAGTCCTTGTTACGAGGATGATTGTTTTTGTAGTCACAAAGAGCTAAGTGCCTTTAGTCAGATACTTGACTTCCACCCTACAACAGATCTGTCCAGATTTCTTTGGGGCTGCAGAGAGGATCAGTGATTTGGTACGCTGTCCAAACAAGTCTCGCCACTCTGAGTTCATATGATTGTGAACAAGTGTACGAGGAGGTGTTCAAACATGTGATGAGCCTGGACAACTCTACTAATTTAGGGCTTAGATACAGAATTTTTAATACATCAAATGAAGAGAGGATATTTTAATGCTGCAGTTATTTCAGCAAAACCCTATCCTTGAGATGGTTTTAAGAGAGAGCTTAGTCTCTTGAGCTTTTCTGCTGTTGTTCTGCCCTCAGGCACTGCAGAACATCCCATCCTGCCTATGACTCAGGCCAAACATCCGGCTGTCACTTTAACTCAGGCCTCTGTCTGGCTCTTCATGCTTTGGTTACGTCTCTGTTAAAGGCTCTTTCTGCATAGTATCTTCCACGCAATTAAAAACCCTCATTCAGGTTCCTGTTACCTCACAGCTGGCGCATTGCTCCTGTTCTGGGGCCTGAAAGCGCAGACCTGTGAAGTGAATGGGTCCTGCTGAGGGAAAGGCACAAAGCCCCAGTCTCCACGCATCTATCTCCTACCCCACGATCTACTTACCTCCCGGTGGGCCAGTAGCCAGCACTGGTGCCCACAGGACTAGCATGGGGACAAGAGTCTTCCTCTGTATACTAGAGACATGTTGGGTCTTGTCTGTCTTAAGCCCCAAGTCCTACTCACTCAGTCCAGATTTCTCTGTGGATCTCTCAGCATGTGTGATTTGAAATCAGTTTGTGTAAGCTTACTAAGTTCCTCTCTGAAACCGTGCAATTACATTTCGACATTGCTTTACAGTCTGGATGTGAGTAATATTTTGATAAGCCAACATAACATTTCAGAAACGTGGACCTTTTCCATGTAAACAAACAGGCAAACTCTCTGACACTGTCCTGTTGTATTTTTTGCAGTCATAAAGTACTGGGTCTTTTGTTCATTTCTGTGTGCCTATGCGAACTGTGAGTAGCTATAGGAGAAAAAGTAGAAAAGGGCAGTATGGAGTTGTGATTCGAGGCCAAAAGGAAGCTTAAACCTTAATGCAGCAGCTTTTCTCACTGTAACTTCAGTTTCTGTTTCTTTCTTTCAGAAAGACTCAGCAGGATGCAGTGGATAAAATATGGCCACCCCCTTCTTCACTGAAGAGATGAGAATAAATGTAACAGGAGAGGTACAAAATACCCGTTCTGGAAGCTCTTCACAGGTGTCTGCTCCTGGCTAAGGTGGAACCCGAGGCCACGTTAAAATACTCTCTGTTGGTTTTCACTGAGCAGTGAGGGATTGATATGCTGGGAATAAGCTGATCAGCTGCTTTGACTTGTGGATGAGTTTCTTTAGTAGTCCATTTGGTACCAAATTTGGTATTAATTTGGTATTCTTGGGGGTTTTACTCTGAGGTGGGTTTGTCACTCAGCCGGCAATCTGAGAAGTGCGGTTTAGCTCTAATGCAGACTACAAGGACTTAAATACATATACGTTATGTTAAAATATATTTGCTCAGGTGTCAGTTTGAGTTCGTGTCAGCACATGAACATTAAATTACATTTAAATTGCCAAGTCACCTATGAACTTGAGATATTTCTGACGTGCCAACATCTAAAATTGTAGTCATTTATATTTAGATTTGGGAGTGTTTCTTTAGCATCTTAACTACTGCTGAGACCTCATTTTAGACACACCCATTTAAAAATGTTGGCTTTGATTTCTCATTGTTTAATTTGCAAAAGGATATGTGTTTTAAAAGTGCTTTAAAATCTTGGGACCAGAGAACTTCTATAATTATTAATAATTTAATTCATTATTCATTTTAAATGCATTATTTAATATTAAATTACCTTTTCTTGTTCTGTTGTGTACCAGTTAGCTTGCTGCCTGTACTTCATTCAGCTTGGAAGCTGGAGAACAGCCCTTGTGCCTACAATTAAGCCTCTTTGCAAATACATAATTGGGTTGGGGATGAAGATAAAAAAGTCAGGATGAAAGTGCTAAGTACCACTGCTGACCAAGATTTTTTTTTTCTTTTTTTATCCAAATTTAGATTGAAAACTGTAGGTAGAAGGAGAAAGTGTTTCCATTTACTCTGCTGCTGGATGAGATGTATCCTACCAAAGTTTCACACAACTGAGAGAGGTTCACTTTTAAATGGTGTTTAAGAATTTCTTTCCTGTTTTTCTTTAGTAAAGAACCCTTTTCTGTATACTTTTTAAAAAGTGTGAGATGTTTTTGTAATGTAGTACAATTTATCTACAGAATGATGGTACCAAGAGTACATTTGTGTTGTGTAGTGTCTTATCAATACTTTTACCAGGTAGCAGTAAGAGATACCATCCTATTTAGAAGGGTCTGATGTGGAGAAAATACTTCATTTTTCCTGAAAAGGAACGTAAATTGTGTACAAATTAAGCCCTGCCCTTTTCTGGCTCCTAGCCCAGCCAGCAGCTACAAAGGAGCAGGAACAGCAAAAGGGCCTGAGCACACGTGAACATCTCTGTCTGTCTGAGAGTACCTGATGCCTTTGTCTTACTAATTGTCCAGCACAGAGAAGTCTCACCATCTTACTTGGACAGGAAGGACTGGGAGAAGGCTGACATCCAGGAATCTATCAAGGGTACTTACTGCTTCTTTAGCTACTTTTAAAAACCTCAAATGTTTGACTCTAACTTTTTATGGGACATAATTTCTGCTTTTCTAATACTTCAAATGACAGCAGGGGAGTTAAGAGCAACTCACACTGCATGCACTGCCCAAGTAACTATGGGCATCATGCAGAATACATTAATAAATCAGAATAGCTCCTCCAAATTTAAAGAAACAAGGAAGTTACTGATTCTGGAAAGAAATATTTTCTTAGAGGAACTTGTTTACATTCAAAATTTGATAATAATTTTCTAATTCTATGAAACAGTTTAATATATTAATACTATTAGTGTTTTTAAAGAGATTTCTAGCAAAATCTTCAAACTTTTTGATACAACCTCCAACTAGAATATAAGGAGATATTAATGACAAGTATTAAAATATATACCATTTTTCAAATATGTCTTTTTATGGCATATGTGACAAGCTTGACCTTAGTTTTCCTTACAGTGTATAGAAAGATGCTCTTTCACAGGACTCAAGGCAAAAGAATTTTATATGGCTTATAATCATGGCGTAGCATAAGCTAGAGACACAAATTTAGATTTCCTTGGTTGAACAGGGGAAGCGTACTTGGTTTAGTTTCATTATATTACTTCTAACTTAAATTTTGTTTGGAAATGTGGAATATTTTTTATTTTGAAATGTCAGGATATTTTTCAATATAAGGAGCTCGTGTTTTCTACTGTGTTATGCCATTCAGTTCTTTGAATTTAGTGAGCTGGCAGTGGTGTTAAAACAGTAAAACAGCGTGGCGAATCTTGTACTTACTTCCCTGTATCTGAAATCTAAAAAACAACACATAAAATAATTTTTTTATCATTTTGTTTGTTATATTTTGCTTCACTAGGCAATGGCAAAAGTAGTCCGTAACTTTGTGTACTGTGGGCTGCATTTGCTGTTGCTTTTCTAGTATTTTTTATCGCCCTGGAAGTGATGCAGCTGCCAGTTACCAATGATACCCAGTTTCTGCATAATCTCTGCTAAAGAGTAAACTGTGCTTAACTGTCTGTGCCCAGCTGGTGGAAGGTGATGTACTCTCATGCGTGGGGATCTTGCTATGAGCACCCACTCCAACCATGAGAAAACCCATAATAATCTGCAGGAATTTGATCTATATTCCTATATACGACTGGCAGGCACCCAGTTTGGCTCTCACTTTACAGTGACTTAATTTGGCTGATTTCAGATGCACTTATTCTGGATTTCTATCTGGGGCCATAAGAGCCCAGATCCCAATGTGTAAAGGCCGCGCGAGGAATCAGGACAGTCGGGGCTGTCGACGTGGGAAGATTAACTGGGCTAATTTCTCAGAGTATATTGTGATCTGGAATACCAGTCGTTCTAATTGCAGAATATGAGTGAATTTCTAAAGAGAAGTAATTATTGTAGAATAAACTTATTTTTAATACATAACAAAGTGTACAGATGGGTAACCCCTGTGGAATTGCTTATCACAGAGTGATATTCTAATCAGTTTTCCCAAGCAGATGAGCCCCCAGGGCAGATGGCTTATCCCTTCAGTTCCTTGTCCATTTAGCTCTATATGAATGCCCTGATTTGAACAGTATGGAGAAAAGTTAGTAAGAACTAGACAGAAAAGTAGGTATATTTAGCGTGTAACCTTCAAACTGTAAAATGGTAACAAATTTTCATCATTACTGAAGAACTGTAACCCACATATGAAGTGGATTTCAAAAGCAGAATCAATCCTTTCTTATATTCCTTATCTATTTTTTTTTTCCTGACTAGTAGGCTAACATCTTTTTGGCATTAATATGAGTTTTCAAGGACAAAATGTTTGATATCCTGAGCATTCCAAAATGTAATCATCCCTGCTAAGGTTAGGTAATTATAATGTCTCTAAAATCCTGTAATTTCTCGTCATTTCTGTACAACATGAACCTTGTGGGTATGAGGAAAAGACTAAATCTTGGAACGTAAAGCTATTCAGACTCATTACACATTGTATATATAAATACCATCACCAAAATTATGAATTTATACATTTTAAACACATTAAGAAAATAAAAATATATAAATAAAAATAGTGTAGTCCCGAAAGGAGCATTGTAACGTGGAATTTACTGAAATCACCTAGATCGCAGAGTATTTGCAGGAATTTTCAAGAGATCTACTGTCTTGCAGTCGTGATGCAAGAAGGATCTACAGAAGAGCTCCACAGCAGCCAACCATGTGAGAGCAAACTGAAGGAGCGTGCTGGACCACTGGTTAACAGAAGCAGAAAGACAGTGGTGACAGGAGGTGGAGGCTACCTGGGATACAACCTGGGATGTGCTCTTGTTAGGTCAGGAATTGCTGTTGTTCTATTTGATGTACGGAAACCTAAATGGGAAATTCCAAACGGAGCAGATTTTTTCAAGGTATGTTGAAATTACATATTTAACAGTAGTGAATAAAGTTGTAGTACTTTTATGTATATTAACGAGGCTTCCTCTTAAGGACTTTTGATAAAATCTTTTACTGAAAAGCCATTAAGGACAGTAAGAAGCCATTGTAAAAGGTTCTCAAATGTGTAAGTAACTGATTAAGAGGTAGCAATCAGGAGTCCAGTGGTCAGTTCTCTCAGTGTTAGCAGGGGAGTTCTGGAGTCCTGTGTTGGGAGATGCCATTCAACACATTTGTAGCTCACCTAGGTGAAGGGGTGAACAATGAAGTGACAAAGTTTACTGCTTAGGGAAGTTATTTGGAGTAAAAAGATGAGACAGGGCAATAAAAGTTATCCCAAATGTGGAATGGCCGCTGTGCAGCGAATGGCTGAGGAAACGAGGACTTTTCAGTCTGTGAGTGGCATGCAGGTGGATGGGATTGACTGCTCACTGCACTTTCCAGTATAAGAAGGAAGGGCCATCGGGTGAAATGAGGAGTTGTCAGTTCAACACAGAGAAGTGGTTTTTTCATGCAGTAGGTAAAAGGCATGTACAAAGCCTCACCAAAAATCTGCTTCCACTGGAGATTACTAAATAGGTAAAGCTGAAAATGATCCAGGGGCCGTCGAGGTGATGCCAGGTTTTCTCCTTCTAGCTACATCACCATGTGCGACAGGTGGGAAGGGAGGCAGAGAGGACACGTGGTACCGCTCTGCATGGCTGCGTGGCGGGCAAAATACCGGGCTGAGCTTTAGTCTGACCCAGCGTGGTTGTTCTTGTGTTCAATTTCATAAACAGCTTTTACAGAATATGAGAGAGAGATGAAGTATTACCAAGGAACCATTCAAAAACCATCAGCTTGTTTTGTTAGTGATATAAATCCACATAACTTGATTGAAGTTGTGGATTGACGGCAATTTACATCTTTCAAAGTAGATTTGAGATCTGACAAATGATGTCCTGAGAACGGGGTTTGGGGTTTTTTTAGAATTCAATTTACTCTGTAATATTTATATTTTTTATAGGCGAATTACATAGAAAATGGAGCTACAGAGTCCTAGTAAATAAAGTAATAAGTCACTTCAGAGATGTGAGCCTTGATCAGTGATTTGGATCTTGTTAGTATTGTTTATACTGGTTAGCTATTTTAGCATTCGATTGAAGGTAGGAAGTGTAAGTCAGCCGTATTTATGAAATACTTTGGCAACTTCAGAAGAAAAAAGTTGAGAGTTGAGATGAGATTACCTCTTAACATTACCTCCAGCCACTTCTTTTGTGATTATTCTATGTTTCATGACAGTAAACGAAATAATAGCTAATATTCTGCAATATCATAATTCTGAAAAGAAAGGTATTATAATTTTATTGACATCTGTATGTATGTGAAGTATTATACATATGGTTTTACATGGTAGGCAAAAATGCAATATAATATTCTTAGCAGGGCATAGCATTTGATAGAAAATATAGCGTGCATTTAATACAGTACAGCATTCAGTACTGTACAGCATATCATATAATGGCATTATAATACACTATGTATACTATTACAATATTAAATGCATATAGCGTGTACTCTTTTAATTTTATACAAAACTGTAATTAAATTATTCAAGCAGTGCACCTAAAATAAAGCTTAGGTGGGCAAAGAGACGTTAGCCCAGATCTCACGGTACTAACAAAAAAGGGGTTCTCTTATTTGGTGACTCCCTGGCAAACAGCTGAACCCTTCCTGCTGTGATTTAGCATCCCTGGGGCTTGATTCTCCAGCCCTCAAGCATACGCTGCTCCCATTCCAGTCAAACGAGTTTTGCCAGCCTGCAGGCTGCAGGACTAAGTGTGAAAATACGCATTATAATTGAAGCCAACAAGAGTCATAGTTGTTTTGCAACAAAACACTGACAAAATTCTTAGTCATGGATTTTTTTTTCTCCATGTTTATAATGTTTTATTTAATGCTAGTGAAGTATTATGAAAATGACATCAGAATTACTTTAGATTTTCATTCACGGCCATAGTTAATTCTATACAGAATGTAATGAGCTCTACCAGTCACAAATCCATTCTTTTCTCATTTTACAGGGTGATGTGAGGGATTATGATGCGGTGTTCAAAGCATGTGAAGGGGCTGACTGTGTTTTTCACATGGCTGCATGTGGAATGTCAGGATTAGAACAAGCAAGTACAGTTTTTCCTAATGTTTTCTTTCTTTACTCTTGTGAAAGCAAAGATTTGTCTGCATGTAGCAAAGAATGTAACTATGTGGTATTTATGTCAGACAGAAGTTAGTTATGAGGGTCAAGTCATCCGCACAGGCAACAGAGGAGGTATTCCTTCAATGATAAATGTCAAAGCATGAAGTAATGTACTACCCAAAGTACTCTAGAAAAATGAGATCATAGAATTAAGATGTTGGATAAGATATCCTTTTTCTCTACCTGAAGAAGTGTGACAATATTGCCCTAGAACTAAGGTCGATGCTTTTTCTGCTTGCAAACTCATAGCCATGAGGAAACAGAGCAGCAACTTGATACAGTTATGCTAAATAACAGTGAAATTCACAGTGGGTGTTATCAAAAAATCATGAAACTACTAATTTATTTCCGGGGAACAGGACGGATTGCCACTGGAACAAGAATTTGTGGAAGCTTTCAGGGAGCATAACCCCTGCCTGTAATTCCTGTTTCTATCTCAAGGATTATCTGGGGTGTGACAAAAAATCGAAGCATTATTAAGTTCCTCTCAGATGCATTTTATTTTTCATTTTTCAACTTTCTTTATTCATACACTGAACAAGACAATGAAAACGAGAACTGCTAGGAATCACTGTATGTCAGAAGGGTGAGAACTAACGCATACATCACACACAGCCCACAGCTCTTCAGGGTCCAGCAATTGTAACGATCATGTTGGGAGTGTGACTTGTGCAATTAATCAGATATTGTGCAAATTCTATTTCTAGCTTCAAAAGAAAGACCAAATTGAATCCATAAATGTTGGAGGCACACAAATAATAATTGATGGTATGTACCTACGTTTTCTTTCCTTGCGTCTGAACCAAACCATGAATTAAAAAAACCTTCTAATTGGATGTTTCCTGTGTTGATTTGGCAGTAAAATGAGGCTCTTCTTTCCCTCCTTTCAGCGTATGGTGTGAAGCTAGCTGTGCAGGTCCCATTAATCTGGTAGATTTGCCACTGGTTTGAACTGGGGATAGGTTTTCAACCTGGATTTCATTCCTTGGCAGACCAACTCAAACCCTCCTCCATGTACAGGTTATTTTTCCCTTTACTCTGTGTAATGGAGAAGTGTTATCCTCTTTCCTCATGGAAATAACATGAGAGAGATCATATGGTCTGCTGTGTTGTAAACATTTGGTGATGGGAGCCACAGATGTGCTATTATTTTATCACATCAATATAGAAAATCATCTGTTCTTTCTGACCATCTGTCTAAATGTGATCCCTTTTTATTATACACTGATTTTTAACCACTGTCTCTGGAAAACGTTAGCAGACTTATTTCTGTATATGCAATTTCAGAAAGAATGTTTCAAAGTGTATTGTAAACACCAAAGCTACCATCTCTTTGCTTTTCCCTCAAAAATCAAATGGCAAAAAAAAAAAAAAAGCAAAATGGCTTTAATATAATTTTTAGACCCATCTTCATGCTGCCTGTGGGTTATTACTGAAAGAAGAGTGAAATGGTAGGCAAGTATAAGTCCAAGGGAGTTAGAGGGAAGAGATTACCACATATTCCCTCCTTCCTACCCCAACCTCTGAACCCACAGAAACAGGTCATGTCAAATTTCCATAGCTCTGCCAACAAAGCAAGAGTCTGGGAGGCACATGAACCCGTTAATCTACATCTTAACAATAGATATTATTGTTGTATTTTGAAATATTTACAATACAGTAATTACATTTGGTATTTTCAAAATGAGCCAATGAGCCAACTGGACTGACTGTATATTCTAAAAATTGCTGACTTTGAATATTAATTCACTTAAACTTTAGAAGCATTGTTAAATCAAAAGGAAATTTATGTTCAAGTTTGCAATGACATATACACAGCAGAGTTTAGACCTTAACACCTGGCTGCAATCCATAATTAAGACTTTGTTTTGTAAATAATACTAATTTCATTTGTATTTAAGGTACAACTGATTATACACTAACCATGTGTGTTTCCTGCTAACGTGTCATTTGTCACTTAGGAGCAGATAAAGACAAATGCAGGTTTGTCACACACTGGAGAGAGTGAGCTCGTTTTCTGATAGGACTTATCTGCACGGGCATCCGTGAAACTGCGGTGCAAAAAGCAGCGCTGCTTGCTGCTGAAATGGTCCCTGGACTGGCTGTTCCCTGCAGTGCTGCCCCTACAGAAAAAAGCAGGGAGGTTCAGTGCTCTTTGATCACCAGAAATGGTCCTACTCCTCTCCTTTTTATTCAGGTTGTAAAATGAACATGTTTTAAGAAATGTTTCTGCAGTAAAGCAGGATTCCACACCCCCCCAAAGAGAATTCCTCCATCCAGCCGATGACTATATCCAGTCTGATACGATAGTTGCAGGTACCTAATCATAAAATGTTTGGTGACCACAGTATGTAATATTTACATAGCAGGTATTTGGGATTAAAAATTCCAGCTGAATGAAAGATGAGAATATATTAAATGGTAAGTTAATGTTAAAATGAAAATATTACTTTTTCTATAAACATGTTTGTTTTCAAAAAGAGAAGCTGCCAGTTCATGCATTGTTTCTCACTCTTTATTTTTGTTTTAAAATAATTTATTTTGTATACCACTGTAGTCTGCAAACAGAGAAATATCCCTAGACTGATATACACCAGCACAGTGAATGTGGTATTTGGAGGGAATCCCATTGAAGAAGGAGATGAAGAAACCGTGCCGTATTTTCCACTGGAAAAGGTACTCTGTTCATGTGATGGTGTGGCGCTTACGGTGCTTGAAAGGATAGATTATGTGAAGGCTGTTCTGAGAGCAGCAGCTGTTCTACCACAGATCACATCAAATCCCATGAAATTTTTTTTCATTAGTAAAAACTGACCCATGATCAATGAAGAAATACTTAAATCATTGTGGCTTTAATCTGCGGTAACTGGACAGATGTGAGATGATAATATACCTAAAAATGACTAAGAAAAGTGGAATGTTTTAAGAGGAAGTGCTTCCAGGCAACCACCCGCTAGGTAAATACAGAATATTGCGGCCCATGTGAGCCTTTGCTTTGAAGAATATTGTTGAATATCAAATTCTACATCTTTATCACACACATTTTTGCTGCTTTGGCGTTCCCAAACCTTGCTGTCTTGCTGGAGGCCAGGTGGCAGTTACAGTCACCTGAGGGCTGCTCGGCAATACCGTTTCCATTTCCTTCTTTACTTGATAGGAAATATTTTCTAGCTGAAATCTGAAGCTCAGTGCATTCTGGCCACTCTTCCCGTTTGCTCTTTCCTGCTCCCAGCACGCTGCCTGCAGCTAAAGCTGTGCTTTTAGAGTGTGCGTTCTGTGTCCAGGAACCCTAAAACGACGTGTTGGATGTCTGCTTGTGCACAGCCTGCACAGCACCGCAGACTCCTAAGAAAGCATTTCAGGGATTTGCAATTAGTTGCACATGTCTGAGCCCTAATCGTGTGTTTTCTCTAGTGGGAACTGGGTAATAGGAAGCAGCAGAGGGAGGTGGGTGAGGAGGGAGGTGGAGCACCTGGATTAAGCTACCTGGAGTAGACGCACTGTCCATGCTGGGATTTTTAGGTATATTTTTCAATATAAAGTGTGGCAATACAAAATTCAACAGGTACCTAAATAGCCTCATGTGGGTAAGCGATCGCTAAACCAGCATGTGCTAACTGTGTCCAGATTCTAGTGTTTAAATACCCTTGGGTGCAATTTTTAAAGTCAATAGTAAGCGATACAGTTGGGAGAGAATTATTTATAAGTTCCCAAATAGCTTCAATAAGAAATGGAAGCATTTTTAGGAATGTCTGAATTTTTAATTTCATATTTAACTGTTTTTAAAAACTTCTTCCAATTCAAAATGGATGTTTTTCAACATAAAAATATCTGACCTACCAGAACATTTGGCTTCATATTAATTCTTTCAGTACATCCAGCACAAAAAGTGAGTTAAGTAGATACTAGTGGACTTAAACTTGCTCTGAAGCTAAACTTGTGCAACTAAAATGTAAATCTGATAAGTTTCTTTGTCATAAACAAAATATATGTTTGCTATATCTTGTTATTTCTAGTTTGATTTTACTCAGCTCATGTCTATAAGCTGGCTAGATTTAAATGTTATCAGACAGAAACCATAAGTTTGCCTTTACAGATGCAATAATGTGATTCAAATGTTGATCTCATTCTGCCTTTCTTTATAGCAATTTAATCATTATTCTAGAACAAAGGCAATTGCAGACCAAATGGTTCTTGCTGCTAATGGAACTTTACTCAAAGGTACATATAAAACATTTGGGTTTTTTCCTATCATTAGTAGTGCTAATTCTAACCATTCGCTGGCTACTCATTTATCGATAAATAGTATACTTTAACTGAAATAAGGATTTATTTTGTTTGTTTCTACTCCTCCCTTCAGTGGATGATTAATTATTTTATGTGTATACACAGACAGGTATGAGATTATATGCAAACAATAGATGGGAGAATTCAGAAAATTTAATCATCATCAAAGTTAACCAGTTTTACAATAGATACAGAATTTGTGCTTTTCTTCCCCGTTCAGCATATCGCTTTGAGCTTCTCTGACAATACCAATCACTAAGCGCTGTCCAGGAGGTCATTCTCCTCATCCCCAAAAGCTTGTAGGTGTCTGGCAAGAGTAACTACAGTTTCTTAAACAGATTGGCAATACAGGTCGTGGTGACTTCTGAAGTCACACGTGTGTGAAGAGATGTGGCTAAAAATCTGTCTATACATGGCAAGGGAAATGTTTATCTTTGCTTTTATAGGCGTATGTTGCTATTCCTAGTGATTTCTCTGAACTGAAAAGGTGGCAAACATAAATAAGGTGGGGATTCAATTTTAGCATCCTTCATTTACTACTGAGCAAATGCCTACCACCTGTTACACCTCCCCACATCAAAGGTGTAACTGTGCCTCTTCACAGGAGCCAGAGTCGTCTACTTACTGATTCATGTAAAAGTATTCATTTTGATTGAAAATATTCTAACTTATTTGAAAGCCTCCGTTTAAGAGACCTCTTCCACTCCTTTGTGATGCTGTTGAGCTGCAAGCAAGGTGTCTAAATATAGCAAATTGAAAGATCTTCTTCCAGTATTGTGTGTGTCTACAAGGATGGACAAATCTGCACGTTATAAACTTGTGTCTATAATAAACAGCAAAAGTCAATCAAGCAGGAAGCGTATCTACAGGAGAGTTTGATTCATCCTGTCCCTATTCAGACCGTTCTGTGGTCAGAGGGATTCAGGTTTCAGGCTGCTAAGCTGGGGTCCTTCACTGCTATTGAACTCAATTTTATGCAGAAATGAGAACAAGTTACTAGGAAGCCAAATCTCATGGAATGGTCAGGCTGATCCTTTGCTTTCACAATGTAAAGTTCAGACAATATGTTGATATCAAAGCAATCTGAAAATGACGTTTTGTGTTCTCTCCAAGGAGGTGATGAGCTCCACACTTGTGTGCTTCGTCCCCCAGGCATATATGGACCAGAAGAGCAGCGCCACCTGCCACGAGTAGCCGTATGTGTTATGTAGGCAGCTCTGGAGGACACTACAAGTAGTTGTAAGGGCATAACACCAGTGGAAGCATCTTGATTACAGTTCTTAGCTATTCCTCCAAGAAAACTGTTGAAAGCTTGGTGACAGGTCATGTGAAGCAAGATAACAGATAGCATGATGTCAGCGTTGCAGAAATGGCAAGGCTCAAGCTGTACTTTTCAGTGAAAATTTAAAAATGCAAGGCTGAAATGCCAGGGAAGAAGAACCAGGTTTGCATCCCTGACCATTTAATGGAAATGCTGTCTTTTAAATATGCACTTTCATTTCAGCCAAACACTAGAATCTCTCCATATTTTACCACTGCGTATCAGGGCAAGAGTCCTTGATTTATAAAACCACCAACTAGTTGGATTTTTTTCTTGTGACACATTTCTTGTGCTGTAATTGTACACAAATACAGCAAATTCTAAGTATTCAGGCTGAGCCAAAATGAATACGTTATACTGCATAAATAAAGGAATAACGTAGTTATTTCATGTTTTCTGTTTCTACAGGTAAATATCCAGCGGAGACTATTTAACTTCAACTTTGGGAATCACAAGGTTCAGATGAACTGGGTTCACATCAGAAATCTAGTACAAGCTCATTTACTAGCTGCTGAGGCTCTCACCTCTGAGAAGGGTTACGTAGCTGTAAGTAAACAATATAAACCAGCGTTGTCTCCCAGGTCCTTTAGCTCTCAAATGGGTTTAATTTTTTGATGTTTCAAGATCAAAGGTTCTCCAAAAGGTCGCATGCTAAATTCTCAAAAATAGTGTGTGGCTCCACAAGCACGCGGACAGTGCCAATGCAAATACGTTCTGCTAATATTTTGATGATTTTTTTCTGGTTTGAAAATATATCATTTCCTGTGTGACTGGGGGAATTTTTAACCAGGTTAATATATTCACCATCATACAAATCTGTATATTCTCTTATTCTTTTGAAAATAGATTCTGATTCTAGGCGCATAGCATCAAATTTAGAGCAACCATTCTGAGGTTTCCCAGTTTAATTTTCAGAGCTGAAAATTCCAAAAAGAGATGTACAAAATTAATGGACAATTTAAAAAGGTTTTTCCTTTTTTTTTTTTTTTTTTACTGACCATAATTGCAACAACAATCTGAAGACTGTGGAGCATCACAGAACTGACAGTGTTGCAGCAGCTGCTATATTCACAGCTCCCGAAGGGTCCAGCTTCATTAGTATTGGTAGGAACATATAGACAGCAGGTACAGATACATCTGAACATCTCTTCATGTTCTGTCAGCTAGTTCAGTGCTTGGCAGCTATGCAGCTGTTTTACCATGACGTAATGCCCAGGGTCTGCTTGGGTGCTCAGGAGTTCATGGTGCTCACAGCTGGACAGAGCCCTCATCCAGAGCACAGCTGCCAGCAAGTATTCCCTGCACGTTTAGAAGGCTGGAAGAAAACAGACTGGAAGCCCAGAGTGGATTCAAGCACTGTGACATGTCCCACAGAATATATATACTGAATTTGTTTTAATCAGAAAATTAGCCAGAGTTGGAGCTTGACCTCAAAAAGCTGTGCTTATTACACGCTGTCAGTGTTGCCGCTTCTGTTGGACTCATGAAGATAATTCTGTCCCCTGCACATCATAAGGAACTTAATGCTCTAACAGTTGGGTTACTACATAGTGAAATCAAGCTCTGATCTACGTTACACCGTGGTTAGTCATGATTAGCTCTATCATGGGGTTACCCAAAAGTATGAGACATGTTTGAGATGACAGTGAAGTCCGAGGAAGGTAGTTTGCTGAGCCGATTTGTGTACATTCACCGTATGCGTGCTGGCATGTTATTCACAAAATCAAGAAAGGTAGGTATGAGAGAGAAAGGAAAGGCCATCTTACATATAGTCTTTTTCTAATTGTTTTTCTCTGCTTCTTTAACAGAGTGGTCAGGCGTATTACATACACGATGGTGAAAACGTCATTTTTTCTGAATGGATAGTCCCTTTAGTATGTATTGCACACACATTTAGCTCTAATGCACCATATTCCATTTTTATGCTTCATTGACACCCTCAATTTGGTACAAATGCTCTGTTATTCTTTCCTTTTATACGCCTTCTAGTTTGAAAAATTAGGCTACAGGAAGCCCTGGATACATATTCCTGTTCTCCTGGTTCATATAGCAGGTAAAAATAATGAAATACATACTTAATTATTGTGCTATTTACTTTTTAATTTGTTTTCTTATTCCTAGAAAGGTATGTAATGGTTTTATAAAATTCAGGGACCCAAATTGTAGGAATTGCATAACTTAACATCATTCTAATTAATAAGAATCGCTTATGTCATTTGGCATTAATTATACCAGATAAAGTCTAAAGACTATTCATAAACTGAGTCCATCATGTACTTTATAAATTAAAAACTGCCTTCTCCACCTTAACTGCATCCCCTGGCAGCAGTAGGAATTATAGGATGTGCAATGTCAGTATTATCTCAGTTTACTGTTATCCAGCAGTCTCATTAAGTAACTTTCTGTTTCACAGCCACTGTGATGGAATATCTGCACCTGATACTAAAGCCAGTTTTTAGCTTTACCCCTTTCTTGACAAGGAATGAGGTAAATATATAAACATTCTCTCTTTTTATATATTTCTGACCAATATTCTTGGATTGTCTGCATTAGAGCTCTGGTTTTCTGCTCGGGGCATAGTCCATTCAGGGCTTACACAGTCATTTTGTAGCCTGATTTTTTCCATGCCATCCTGGCCACCCCTTATAAAAACATCGGAAATTAATACTTACTTGAAGATTAGATGATCCAGAGAAAGATCCTACAGGTGCAAAGCAGAGCGACTGACGTGGAGCTGGCACAAAGAGGAAAATGGGCGCTACGGTGTCATTTCCAGCAAGCTGTCCTATGCGGTGGGACTACTTCTTAAAGGAAGGTGGTGCAAGAGTCTCGGGTCAAAGTGGTAGCAGATGGCGTAATACAAGGCTAGCCAATAATTGGAAAGTCCACTAAAAGTAGTTCTAAATTGGAATGAAAAGTTAATTTTCTGAGGGGAGGGGGGGGAAAAAAAACAAACCCCAAAAACCAACGCCAAAAACCCCCAAATCACCAAACCCTATTTCTGGACAAATTAATTTTGATCTAACTTATTTTTTTGTATGATATTATGATTTGTAATATAAATGCTTTCACTTGTAGCATGTAACATAATAGGATACTTTCTTCTACATTATTAGTTCTGTATCTGAAGCAGAAATTGAGACTATGCAGCTTAAGCACTGTCACAGGCACCACGCGTTCAGGGGGAGGATACAACTCTCCAAGAGTGTGTGTTTTCCACTCTGAGACGCGTTTCGGCAAAGCTGGGAAGCCACGCAGCTCTCCTCCAGTACACTCACCCAGTTCTGCTGTGCATTTCTCCATACAGAAGCGGCAGTTTGAGGGAAGCGTGCTGATCTGTTGCGTGGGATTGCTGTAGTCCTTTATCTCACATTCACAAGTCAGAAACCAGTGTCAGCAACTCCTCCTGCACCCAGTCCACCCAGCTTTGGCTCTTTTCCTGTCAGCTCCATCGACTCATTCTGTTAGCTCTGTACAGAATCTGACTCCAAAGTGGATACATTTTTTGCATGTCTATCTCTATTCATGTTTTTCATTCTGTTGTGATATCATTGTTATCATATTTTCATTCAAGTTCTAGAAAATCAGGTATTAAACTCGCTTCCATAACTGTCTTTTTGGATTTTAGGTGTGGAATGTTACTGTAACTCACACTTTCCGAATAGACAAGGCACGAAATCAGCTTGGTTACAAACCAAAGAAATTCTCATTTGCCGATTCTGTGGATCATTATCTTAAAACAAGACCTCCTTGCCAAGAAGATCACACGTTCCTTAAAACGGTGTTTGCTTTTGGCATTTTGTTATGTTTGATCATTCTTTCTTTCTTCTAAAATCAAATAACTACCCACCTGTTTCTGAGTACTAATGATCTGGTCATAGTACATTCCTCAGGCACCATGGACTTTATTATTCTTATTATTGTGATGATGACATCTCTCTGATCTCATTTGAAAAACCAAAACCCACAAAAGTGAAGACAAGGGACACATCAGGAAATGTTCCTAAAGGACAACACAGTGTCACAAAATCAAAGGAGTGCACCACTAACAAAGGCAGGAATAGTTTTAACGGATCTTCCTTCATGGATTGCTTCATGCTGAGAATGATTTTCTAAAAATGATCATTCAGGAGAGTAAGAAATTGGAGGAAGAGGAACCCTTGTAGGACTGCAGTGCTGTAACAAGTCCAGTAGCTCTAATGAAGGAGAAGGTTGATGAAACCATTCCTCTGATGAAGCCACTGCTGTAGCTGCTGTATGTGAGCCTGAGGAATTATGAAGACCTGGGAACTAGTACAAAAAATATGTAAATATTTATAAATAACAGGTGGCAAGAGGACTGAAAGTCATATTCATGTAAAATAGTTTTATTGTTCAAAAACTTTGTAAAAATGTAATAAATGTTTTTAAATCAAATAATATCCTTTCAACGCAATAATATATAACTGAACCAACTACTGCCTTTAAGGAACCTGTGGGAAGGGGGCGGGAGGGCACATAAGACCTTGGAGTTCAGGAAGCTGTTACTGCTGCCTTGTCTTGTAAGAGAAGCCAGGAAGTCCCTGCAACCCTGTACCAGTGCTGGCACGCTGTTCCTTCAGCCAATGGCCATGTCAGGCTGAGCAGGCAAGCCCAGCACCAGGACCCCAGTGAGGATCTGACCTCTCTCTCCCCCCCCTTCTGAAGACTTATGTTAGTGGCTTCTTGGGTGGATTGCACTACTGAGCCACGTGTGCTACGTGTGCGCTACATCTACACCTACCACATGTAGCCCAGGTGAATTTTCATAAGGTGACCTGTTGCAAGGAATTTCTGAGGGAGCAGCTGCCCTCTCTCTGGCACCCGCGTGGAGCGGGAGAGCTGGACTTGCCAGGGTGGGTCACAGAGTGAGGGAAAAGCTCTGCCATCTGATTACCTCCACTCTGCATTTATCTCGCCTTTCTGTTAGTGTTTTACAGGAGTTTTAAGAGCAGTAAGTTTATGGAGACTCTCTCATTGTATCCTTAAATTTACAGGATATACAGCAGAGCTGACAGCAACCTGACAGGAATAAAATGTTATAGGTAAAATAGTGACAGGAAAATGAGTGAGCACCCACAATTACCACTGCAGCTTATGAGAGCAAAGACTTGTTTTACACTTTTTTTTTTCTTTTCTTTAAACAAATAGTTCTGCGTGCAGTGAAAGCAGCAAAGCCTGGTCTCTTATGGATGTGCATTTGGAGATTGTCCTTGTCCATTCAAACTGAGCTCACACTGCACATCTTCCCTTAGCAGGGGCACGGCTCAGCCCTCCCTCCTATTCCTGCCTACCTACTGTCAGGAAAGAAACTCAGTATATATGAGATTTTATCCAAGTTTGATTACAACTGATTTAGTTCACTATTTAGCAATACAGAGGCACAGCTCACTGACAGATGAGCACTGCAGAAGGTACTGCGCGAGCCTTGTTTCCCTGCTACCGCAGAATAGAAAACCCCAAGTGTAAAGTTACTTCCCAGCGCCAGCACTTTAACTATATGCAAACGTTTAATTTGCTTTCAAATTAGTTATTTATAAATCTTTCATATATTGCTTTTATTAGACTAAGAGCTCAGGACTGCATCCCGGATTATACCAACACTTTGCAGCAGCCGCGCCAGGCAGTGAGAAGTGCCGGCTGTGGCCTTTTTGGGTACTCCCCAGCAAGGAAGAACCAAGGAACTTGCTGGCTTTGTGGTTGCGAGTCCCCGTGGAGTCCCACCGTTCTGGTCCTGTAATGTCATGCTGCTGATTCGTTATTTCAAGTAAGATGCTTTTTACATCACTGTTATCACAGTACTGATTAATACTAACTGGCTTCATTCAATTGATTTATCATCATTATTACAAATCCAATACTTGAAATTTTAAGACAACTTTTAGTATGTTTGGAATAGCCAGCTGTTTCATTTCTGTCAGTCTTTAGGGAGTCTTAGTTTAAGCTGGCTATTGTTTGAGTTGCTTATGCTCTAACATAATTGCAAGTGTGTCTTTAAATGATTAAAATTTAATATGAACGTTCAGACATCGCATAGCTATAATGGAAGAGGCAAAAGCGTTCAAAGGTTAATTTTTGCCTGTGATGGGTAACTGAAATTCTGCAGCTCCTGATGCTCTTCACAGCCTCCCAGGCACGAGTGGCCACAGAGCTGAGCAGAGACCCATTGCCGGCACAGGAAGGCAGGGATCTTCGTGTCTGTTTGCTTGTGATTACGTTTCCTCTTTGGGGATTCTGGCTGTTTTGCAGGTGTTTCTGATGCTCCGCATCTCTCTGAGCCATGTCCTGCCACCAACTATCCAACCGGTAATCAAGGGCTGGTGTTTATTTCCTGAACAACCTGTTCAACAGGTATCTCAGTGTGGACAGAGCCCTAGCCACCAACAGGATGCCTTCCTGCAGTGGTCGCGACTGTGTGAAGACACATGGAGGTAAGAGCCACTATAGGATGCTGTGGGACCCCAGGGATGCTCTGGAAACCCAGGAATGCTGTGGGATGCTATGGAATCCCAGGGATGCACTGGGCTCCCAAGGATGTAGTGGGATGAGCAGAATCCCTGGGATGCTGTGGGATGAGCAATATCCCAGGAAGGTTGTGGGATCCTGAAGTGCTGCAAGATGAGTGGGACCCAGGGGTGCTGTGGGACCCCGGGGAGGCTGTGGGACCCCAGGGGAAATGTGGAACGAGCAGGACCCCAAGGGGGGCTGTGGAACCCCCAAGGGGGGCTGTGGGAGCCTGTGAGTGCAGTGGGACGCCAGAGATGCTGCGGGACGAGTGGGACCTGGGGGGTGCTGCGGGACCCCGAGGAGCTCGCTGCGGCCCATCTGCGGGGCCACCCGGCCCCGCTCCGCCTGC